TGTGTTTTGTTTCTGTAAACGGCCCCAGGGAAACTTACTTTGAGGACGAGCCTCGTAATACAGACATTTGAGACCGACTTAAACAGTCCCTAAACTGTTGCCCACTCGAAGGGTTTTTATTCTGTGACCTTCGATTACCCTCTGTTCTGCAAGCACTGGGGTCAGTTACCATAAGACAGAATGATCACAGGTTGATTACATGTACCTGTGGGAAGTTACAAGTTTTTACGTTACGAGTTTCGATAAAATTAATAAAAACTTGGGACTCTACATTCCTGGGCGGCGTTTTCTAATACTTTTTTAAATTTTATTTACTATGGTAGCCGCGCACCAAGCCCACGGAAGAACTTCATCCGCCTTATAACGAGGCCCTAAGTCACCAATACAGCGTTGGTAGCATTGCTACGCTTCAAGTTGCGAGCTGTCTTCATCCGCCTGGGTCCCACTGTTGATGATGCAGCGTTATACGAGACTGATCCCACATCTTTGAGCTAATGACATAATTTTTCTGGCAGTATTTATGAAGTGTGCACCGTAAGATTAAATTGGAAAAATGGGCATCAGAAAGGAAGCCTCTAAGTCAAGCATCTGAGCACTGAACACGGGCCAGCCAAATTAAGTTTAGAGAGAAGACTTCTAGAACATAAAATGTTCTGTGGCTTTATGTGGACAAATTTTACGAGCTCCGTGATTATTGTTCTGTTAGCCGTAGTACTCGGTTGTTGCGGCAATTTTAGTATTAACGGAAACTGCGTATGTAATGTATACATTACACCACAGCAATATGGCAAGGCATTTGGTTGAACATGACCGCGATGTAAACCTCGGATATGCGAGGCTGAATGACAAGCCGACCGTGGGTAGAAACCGACGAAGCTATTCGAAATCGCATTGATATAAATCAATCAATCACTGGAATTCAGTTCTGGGCGTAACGCTGACAACTCACCCCCATCTAGTGCCGAGGTTAAGAATGAGTAGGAGCTTTATCACTCTCCCCCCCAGGCGCCTACATGGCGTGTAGCGGGATAGTTTTATCTTTCTTCCTAAAATTGTATCCATCAGCCGTGTCAATTGATTCTGATGCCAACACAGCCCTGATAATGGGGGCAGAGATTGTTCCCGAAACGTTTGTCGCTTCGTGTAACCAACTGACGCGGATTAATTCCCAAGATCTTATTAAGTTTATTCTTATGACTGGAAACCTAACATAACCTAACCTAATCCAACCCAACCTAACCTAACCCAACCTAACCTAATCCAACCTAACCTAACCTTTCCTAACCTAACCCAACCTAACCCAACCTAACCTAATCCAACCTAACCTAACCTAACCCAACCTAACCCAACCCAACCTAACCTAACCTTTCCTAACCCCATTTACAACATACTCATTTTATTATTTCATTTAAAACTCGCTTCATAATAGCATCCGCCCATATTCACTAAATTAACAGCGTTACTAGAAATTTTTCATTCTCTTCTACAATGTCACCTCGCCGAACTAAGTAACTTTTACAATGTGTATAAATCGCTTTAGACTTCAACGACGGTAACCTCTTTCTCACCGATCGTGCTGCACTCTGTACACTTCACTTAACCTCATACTTTCCTGTCACCATCTTTACCACTTGGTCAAACCATTTATCACAATTTCACCAAAAATCTATCAAGTCCTCTGCAAGAATATTACATGAACAAGTAATGACTTGATATATGACCCACCCCTCATCTCCGATCAACAAAAGACTTCCTCAAATCCTTACCTCGTACACGATTTGATATAATCAATGTTTTCTTCAGATTCGTCACATTTTGACATCTTCGATGAACCCATAACCTCCTAACGTCGTTGTACCATGTGTTCCTCGACTGTGTTTCGACTTACCCCCGGCTAATTCGCGTCCCTTATGAACCAGATCCTTAATTTATACCACGGATGAGTCTGAAATTCCACTGTCGAATCAACTGGCGGTGACATCTGCCTCTCAGCAATGACGACATGATCTAAGAGAAAATCGTGCGATTCTCACCCGTCAATAACAAACAATATTGCCGTTTCACGTGAGTGACTACAGACGATAATTGTTGATCTTTAACAACGAAAGATGTGAGAGCGATGGATTCCGGAATGTTCGCCGAAGAATTGAAACAGAATCGGGCAGAGTCACTAAGGTTTGTCAGAACCAAGGAAGTTCAAGACCGTGCTTTCTACATGCAAAGCCAAGCTCACTGATTTCTGGGGCAACAACCCAGAAGACATTCATCTTCTTCTTCCTAATGTAACATTGTCATAATATTTACCAATGCATCCCGGAGATAAATCAGGTTCCGTTTCATATTAATATCAATATGCAAATAATCCTGTCTGAATTATAGTAGGCAATGTGGTACACAGAAAATCAATGTATCGTATCACTCAAAACGTTTAACTACGTATCGGTACGAACTTCAGTGTTCTGTGCCATACCCCACAAATTTACATAAGAACATTTTCAACTGCATTAATATAAAAACTGTTATCTTTTTTAAAGCAAGCGCTTTTAGAATTTGAATAATGTTCTCGACATTCGTAAACTTTATAATATTTTAAACCTATTACACATATTCTGAACTTCAATTAACATTACAAAAGTTAATTAAAGATCCTATTATCCAAAATGTGACCTAAACACAACATTTTTATTAATAAATAGCATATATATATTAAATATTAGAATTAAAATACATGATTCAGTATTTGTAATCTTCCGTAAATATGCCTACATCAATTCTATTAATTCTGCTACAAGAAAAGACATGACGGTTAATTTTATTTCCATTAGACTAAAACTAACTTAAAATAAAAAGTATAATATACAATATTAATACATTATAAAAACACAACCGTTTCTTGTAACATGGATAACAGATGTTGTAGTTCACATAAATTTTACATGCTAATAACTCGTGTATTTAATTAATCCATAATACAAACTTTTCACACGCGTATTTCAGTGTATTAAAGTTACTGGAGAAAAATTTATCGATGTATTCATTCATATTGGTACCATGTCAAAAACACGGGCATTATTTCAAAATAATAAACAATAATGAAGATATTATATCGACTTAATTCTACATTTATAAGCAGACTACATTACGTACGTCTACAGTTATGGTTCTATTACATAATTATACCAGTGTTTATTGCAATCGCACTGTTACATTTTTACATAATAGGGGTATAATAATGAGTGAAATGCGGTTATATGAAGAACATAAAAAATGCTACGACGTAAACTTGCGAAATTCTGCGTTTGTAGACACAGAATAACGTCGTAGACAGAATAGAACATGCAATTCTACATTTCTCACAGATTATAAAACATAAATCTAAAATTTGTTCTTGAGTGACTTACATTTTCTGTTCCTTCCATAGCAGAGAAATCAGCTCGCAAATTGCTGTCAGCGTCGATGAAGAAATTTCAAAATACTTACAAATTTGCGTCAAAGTTATCGAACTTCGGTACGCAATGCAGATTTTTTTAATAAATAACAAAATTTTACGCGTCTGAATTCGGAAACTTTAATTAAATTGTGAATAACTCAGAGCGGCCGACTTTCGTGGTTACTTTGAGACACGAGTTTTGACGTCGAGTAAGGGACTACTTGACGTACGGCAAGCCAGTGATGCTGTGGTACAGAGAGAGAGATGCACTAGGGGCCTGTGAACTCAAAGACAGTTCACGCAAGCGTGCGCACTGTGGCGGGCGTAAGAAGAGGGCGTCGAGCTGAGATACTTAAGTATATATTAAATATTGTCCGTCTAATCACAATAAAATTCTTATTAAACATTAAAATATTACAATAATTAACATTTTAAAATATGTATATTTAATGTAAATCGAATATTTCGATAAAGAACATCATTTGATATTTTAAAATGTTAATTATTGTAATATTTTAATGTTTAATAAGAATTTTATTGTGATTAGACGGACAATATTTAATATATACTTAAGTATCTCAGCTCGACGCCCTCTTCTTACGCCCGCCACAGTGCGCACGCTTGCGTGAACTGTCTTTGAGTTCACAGGCCCCTTGTGCATCTCTCTCTCTGTACCACAGCATCACTGGCTTGCCGTACGTCAAGTAGTCCCTTACTCGACGTCAAAACTCGTGTCTCAAAGTAACCACGAAAGTCGGCCGCTCTGAGTTATTCACAATTTAATTAAAGTTTCCGAATTCAGACGCGTAAAATTTTGTTATTTATTAAAAAAATCTGCATTGCGTACCGAAGTTCGATAACTTTGACGCAAATTTGTAAGTATTTTGAAATTTCTTCATCGACGCTGACAGCAATTTGCGAGCTGATTTCTCTGCTATGGAAGGAACAGAAAATGTAAGTCACTCAAGAACAAATTTTAGATTTATGTTTTATAATCAGACGCAACATGTCTAAAGAAGAATATAATTTCATGAGGAAATTGCTGTTTTAAATAAACATCAGGCAGATCAATAATTTCTGTTCATTTATTTTCTTAGACTATTTTTAAATATGTCTCTGAATTTTAGTAAAAGGAAATACTCCATTTACAAATGCGAATTATTCTTTAAGTCAACATAAAACATTTGCCTGTAACATCACCTACGGAACTTTTAATTATATATACATTTAATGCAAGTTTATATCAGTGACATTCGCATCTTATGGCTAACAGTATTACTGACAAAGTTTTTTTTTGTGTGTTCTGTCTGACGACAGGTCCATATGAACAGGATCCTTCGATCCTTTTCTCGGACTAGGACCTGTTCATATACGTTCTTGGCAGATGATCCAGAAGTGGTTTGCCATTGCCTTCTTCTGTGTGAGTGTGAATGGAGTAATTGTTGGGATGCCACGGAGAAACCGGGGAAGCCCCCGGAGGAAAACTCCGTGTTGCCTAGACCACGGCCTTGCCCAACACAAGTTATAAATTCGGGCACCCCGGGAATCGAATCCGGGACCCCAGGAATACAAAGGCCAGCGTTCTAACCGCTAATAAAATGATATGGCTGCATACCACTTTCTGATATTTTTGATAAAGTTTGTACATATCAAAAGTTAAGTTATAAAATATTATATGTAGTTAAAACGTGAAAATAAAACGTATATGGTTTTAAAGAATTTCATAAACAAACTTTAATACGTGTTTGGTTTTGCAGATATAACGGTCTTTTATTTAGCAACATCTAAATGAACCAAAGCTATTGGTATATTAAAAATGGGGCGCATGGCTTAGAAACACAGATTCTGATGAACAAGATATTTTACACTTAAAATTATTTGTTGTCAGGACTTTTTCCATCGTCTGTTTTTAAGTATTATAATCCACTGACAGAACGCGTATTTGGGTGGACAAGTTGAAATAATTGCACGATTTATATTGTCCAGTGACAGAGACTAGCTCTTTCTAAGGGACCCAACAGAGTAGGTACCTCTCACCTGAAGACGGAGGCAGAACCAGCCTCCGAAACGTCGTGAATTTTAAAAACAGACGATGGAAAAAGTCCTGACAACAAATAATTTTAAGTGTAAGTCAAAACCCTTTAGAATTGAATATTGTTTTAACCATAATGTTATAGTAACTTTGACGTAGATTTGTATTTTAAACCACATATAAAACATCAACACTGATGATGATACTGTAACACAGGATCGAAACGCGTCTCTTTGTGTATCTAATAAACTGTGTTAAACGTAGCTGGCTGCTGTAATTAATATGTGGTAGTTTTCGTATATACGAAAATATATAAATCTGTCATTCTGTAGAATATTTCGGGCGGTCATTGGGAGATGGCCACCTTTATTCAACCTTAAGGGTGTACATAATTGCAAAGAAGTAATTACTCTAATTACTCTATGAATTATCGGGTTTCTCAACATGTAATAATGGAAAAATTGCAGAAATTGGGCACAATAAATCCCCTACTTAAATATTTTCCTTCGATGTTCGTACATTCTGACATTTTTTCTTCTACAAATATTGTTATCAAATTGTCTGGGCAAAGTCATCTGTGTTCATAAAATAAAACAATTTCTAAGTCACCTACAAAATGAACGTGACATGGGGTTTTCACTTCCGTCGGAGTGGTCAGACGACGTGACGTAACACAAAGAAACAAACAGGGCAGAATCCCACACAGTACATTATGTAGAGGAAAAGTAGAGAATAAATGTCTACGAAGCTATTGACACACTGATCAGTCGTGTCATCTCGTTTCTCAAGCACTGTAAAATAAAAATAGAATGTTGAGAAATTTGACACGTGCAACAACATGGCTGCCACTCTTGAACAAACTTATAAACCAAGTAATTTAGTGACCACCGTCCCAGTTACAACCTTTTCGGTGGAACGATGTTTCTCAGCTGTCATTAATCGACGTCAGGAAAGACTGAATAACTTCTTTAATCATTATTATTGTCATTTAAACACCTGAGCACAATGGTGAGATATTTAGTGGAATTTGGTTTTTTCTCATTTATTAATGACGTCACTCCTAGACCAGGATTCATCAGTGAATTACAATTACCATTAATAACAGTCTTAGCTACAGAATCAAACACACAAATACCGAAAATTTATAATAATCAAATCCCTTTTAATTTTGTACAAAAGTCACTAAAATGTTGATCATGGCGTAACGTCAATGCAGCAAAGAATATTTTGCAAAATAAATCGGACAGGACTAAATTTAGTTATAATATTACAAGATTACAGAATGACAGAGGGCAAAGAATGTGACGTAAGAATCAACTATTAATACTTTATTGGTCCTGGAGGTATTCGAGGACAACGATGATGATTATGATACCACTTTAGCTGTTCATTGGAACAAAAAAAAATAGCGAGGAATGATTTACAAGTTTGTATTACGTGCTTGTTGAAAGTCCTGCAGTTTATAGCCTACTATACACAAACCTCCGCCCCTTGTCCTGCTGTTTTTACGTAGTCTTCTGACTGTTCGTCGCAGTACGAGTACAGAACGGTAGATGTCACTGCCACAGCGATCGCCTTCAAACGTCAGGTGACGTGAATCCCATATCACATTTAATAATCTGATAAATGACCACAGGCTGCTCGTTTTTTTTAATTAAGTCAGGTGTTATTTATTTCTGTCCATTGTTATCTTTGTGTCAGTCGTTGACGATGCTGAGGGAATAAACTCGATATGCAATACCACTGTTTTCTACTTTATTTTTAAAAAAACAGTACTTTTTATAACTGGCTTCTGTTCATGACTTTAGTTACTTAACTTATCCCTACACTACGCAGCAAATATCTTGCAGTATATAATTTCAAAATAATACTAAAGAATTTCTGTATCCACCGAACTAATCTATAATCGAACGGGTTAAATGAATAGATCCTTGTTTGATTACCTGACACCCACGCGGAACCTTAGTTCATTAAGCAAGCCTGCCAACGGCCCCTGTCCTGAATTAGATGAATCCAATCCACGCCCTATTTGAAAGATCCGTTTTTATATCATCCTAAGCGTCAGGCTTTCCGATCAAAATTTTTGTAAAAATTTCTCATCTCTGACATGCGTGCTACATGCCCTGCCCGTATAATCCTCGTTAAAATATTTGTATAAAACACATTACGAAACTCCTCATTATGCAGTTTACATTTGTACCGAAAAGAAGTATTGTATTTGTGTTATGACATGTCCCTTGGCGTGGGCCTATTAAAGCATCTACGAAATGTAAATAAATTCTGTTCTATTTTACTTTAATAATCCAAGCAAAAACGTTCGAACCACTCTTTCAAACCGATTAAAACAAACAATTGGTGTAATTATTAAAGAACAAGCCTAATAAGTCTCGAGAAATGGGACTGAACAGTTTTAACAAAACAATTAAAAAAACTCACTTAACAAATATAAAACACATTTAAAACTTACAGTTTTACATTTTTTTAAAAGCGTGCACTTACTTGTGTCCATTTCTGTGGCAACTTCCTGTCTGCGATGGCCTTCAAACGTCCTCGTTGCTTCCCCAGCTCCTGTTGGTAAACATGGGCTTCCTTTAATGGTTAACTTACTTGTATTTCTTCATAATCAGGTATAACTAACTACCCGTGTAATCAATTCACGTACTCTTGTCCACTGTAATCTAAAATCAACTAGGCCTATATAACGCAGATCTGCTAAATTCAATGACACTTTCATAGCGTAGCATAGAGGAGAATGGGTAAATGGCGGTCACTTAAGATAAAGCTACATAAAACGAAAAGTATACGCAAAGTTTAAACTTTATATAAACTGGCATTTAGTCCCATCGGCTTGCGCGCTACATAGGACCAGTTTCGTTTCGCAGCTGCCCTGAGGATGAGAGCAGAGATGGCTCTCGAAACGTTGGCGCAAGAAATGGTTCATTCACCACCATTCAGCCACCTGACGAAGCTTGTTGTCCGAGAGTCTTTCATTCACTATTTATTTATTTATTCATAACCTTCTACGCAGTTATAATATCCAGCTCTCATATATTGTATACACCCACAAGAAAAACGCATACAATTCAAAGAAAGTTCACTCACCTCAGATATTTCAATGTAAAGTCTTAGATCACTGGAGCACAAAACAAACACATGCAACTAAGTCGGTAACTGCACCAGAAGCAAATTGCGCAATTCGCTGTTGCACTTCACTGAATGAAGCACTAGATGTCAGCACCAGCTTGAAGCATCTATGTGGTAGCGTTTGTCAGGAAAGTGCCTGACCGGCTTTGCCCACTGACCGCCACTCCCCCTTCCAACCCTACATTACAAAATAGAACTATTTAAATTTATCCGCAACGGAAGGCAATTCATTTTCATGAAAATTGTCTGTGAGCGTGCGAAGTCAACATCAGCTGTTTCTATTCTTCAACGGTAGAGTTGCCAAAGAGCAATGTGCCATGGTTCACGTACATGACATTTTCTCATTTTTCAAAGCGAATTTTAGCAGTTAAAAAGACTCGTTAATCGATCAACATTATAACAATTTCTTGAAACAAATACATACGAATAATAACAATAAGATACGTCACATTCCATTGCAGATAAAAGGAACAAATATAAAAAGAATATCAAATAATACGTCAAAGGACGGACATACAATGTCGAAGAGATTTAAAACGTTGCTCCCCACTTACGTGGCAGAAAGTTAACCAGAGGTACTCTTACCATCTTAAATCTACCCACAGAACTGTTTGAAATAAATTTCGAACATTCGCTTTCCACGAAATAGCCATTATCCGTGAATTAAACAGACGGTTTAGAGTCGCTGACAACAGCACCTTGAACCATCACTTCAATGGACTAAAAATCCGAACTGAAACTCAACTGACTACAGGAAGCAATACTTGAACGATTCCGAGGTCAGTGAAAGTAATACATCTACTAGGACTAAAGCTCCATCGCCGAGAGAACGGATGGCATTAGCCCGGTGTTGCGGTCTCATCAACATCGCCAGGTTCCAAGTTAGTCAAATGACGACCGTTCGTTACCGTTTCATATTCCTCATTCATTTTCTGATGTTGGTCATCCACGTTCCTTCTCCGCGAAAAAAAATCATAGGCTAAATCTAACACATTCCGAGATTTGTAAGGCTGGGACGGAAATCTGTTAATGTAGATGTATTACTCAACCTTGTAGACAGGTGGATCACTATCTTTCGTCACAGAAGAGAGGCAGAATTACTACCGGATAAATGTGTACAACAAAATCAGCCATATTGCATTGCGATGTTTGGCAGCAAGGTTATTGACCTCCTGGAGTGCTGCACGAGCTGTGAGAAGAACATAGCTCCCGATTATCTTGGCTGGTGAAAGGGAAAAGACGCACGAATAATCGAAAACAAACAGGTAATCAAAAATACCGAGAGCCTAGTTCACACGTGTCTGCTTTTCAAAAAAAAATTCTTGTACATGGAAAATCATGCTGTTACTTTATGGTGTACAATCCAGCAAACACAAACAGGACAATTAGGTCAGAGTAACTATTACTTTCCATTGTAATCAGGATATATCCAGTTCACTCCTAAATGTCGACATTGCATATGAGATTCATACGACAGTTTATCATAACAAATTTGGTTAAGTATGTCAACATTTTCTGGAAAGAACATAATGATGACTACTTTTCAAGTGCTTTAGTATATAAAAATAAGGTAAGTAAATTTACAAATTAATAATTATACAGGGTGTCCCAGGAGGAAATGTCAATATTCTGGGAGGTCATAGTATCGGTCATTCTAAGCAAAAAAGTCTATATGTACGTGTCCTAATAAGTGTTATATATACATACAGTAACAAAATTCTGAATGATTTTTAGTAATTCTATGTCAAAGTAAATGCATGGTGTACTCTTAAATAAATATCTAAGTTTGAACACGTAACCCCTGGTATCATAAAAGTAATCGCCTACAAATGAATAAAAAATGTTAATTACATTCAAACAATTATTTTAAATACAATATTTGTACACATACAAAAAGGGTCAGGCAGCGTTAACATAAATGTGAATGATTAAAGGTTAAATTTTCAATTATAATTCTAGTTACAAAGCCTGAAAATATTTCACAATTTGAAACATTATACCAAGATGTTTGCTCAAGAATTATATTAGATTTAATTTTTTAAACAGCAAGTCAGATAAACATTTGCATTTACATTTCATACATCGTTAATAGGCCCAAGCCAAGGAACTTGTCAAAACACAGCATTTCTGCCATACAAAAAATGCAACTACTGTGATGATGATGATAATAAACAATTGCTTCAAAGAAGAATGGATGAAACAAACTGCATGAAATGAGACGCAAAGTAACATTGTTCCGAAAGTTGATGTGACTTTGTCACAAAATGACTAGAACAAACATAATATGAACTTAAAACACCTTTTTAAATATGACTTGCACCTGAAGGAAAATTAATTTAATATTTCTGATTTTCTTCTTAACATTAATATGCAAATTCTACAGACCTACATATACATCTTAAATTACAGTAAATACTTCACGGTTCTCGAGACATAAACATCTTTTGAATGTCATTCACTTCATTAGCTACATGTTTTAATAATTAAACAACCGTTAAGAGAAACAGACAAAAAGGGTCAGGCTGTGTTACCATATGAGGCATATTCGGAAAGTAAGTACCGTTTGGACATACCTCCCGCGCTTCATCGAAATTATCCGTTTGCGCATGTACTTCCCATTATAACCAATACTTAAAGCACATTGTGGTGAATTATTTGTTATAAATTTTATTATATTCGTTTTATCAAGATTTAGGGCCAGCTTGTTAGCAGTAAACCATATTTACTCATATGAGACAGAACTATGTTTGATGTTGAACAGAAATCATCAAAA